GGAGGGGCGGGGAGCCGGGACAGGGTAAGGTGTCAGGAAGGGTGTAGGCGCGCGGGGCCGGGAGAGGGCGGGGGGCGAGAGCAGCAGGTGGCGGGTGAGATGGCGGGCTGGGAGCTTTGGGCGGGACCAACGCTGCTCCCCGCCCTGCTGCGCACTGCCCATCCGAAAGCCAGCGCCGGCGACCAGCCCCCAGCGCCCCCCTCCACGCACACGGCGCCACCCACCGGTGAAGAGGCGCCAGCAGGTGCCGGGGCCGGTGCGCCCCGCGCGCCCCGACCGCTGGTTGGCGGCTGCCTGTGACTCGGGGAACACCTGCAGGGCAGGCAGGGCGGGGGGGGAGCAGGAGCAACACTGCGTGGGCACCACCACTGTTAACATCTCTGCCGCGGGAAAAGGGAGCGACGCTCTCTCCTCTCCTTGCCCCTGATCCAGCCAGCCAGCGTAACCAACCATCCCCGGCCCCGTCCTTCAATCCAATATAAGAGGATCAACAGCGGCACCTGGCCGCCACACTCAAAACACACACAGGTAGAACACACACACACACACACACCACCTAGGCCCCACGCCCACCTGCAGCGCGTCCATGCCCATCTTTGGGTTGTACACCTTCATCTTCACATACCTGCAGGCAGGCAGGCCAAAAACCAGGGAGGGAGGAGGGGACGCGCAAAGGGTCTGTGGATCCCCGGTTGCTGGTGGGTGAACACACCGCCACCCCGCAGAAAGGGCAGCCCCGACTCTTTGTTGTAGCCGCGGGGACAGCCTGCCGTGGCGCTGCTGCAGCATCATGCAGTACCAGCAGCATCTTCCGTTTTTGACCAGCAGTACCAGCGGTACCAGCGGTACCCACCCGGTATCCACCACATAGATAATGCCGTCCACCGTCAGGCTCGTCTCCGCAATGTTGGTGGACACCTGCAGGCAGGGAGAGGTGGATGTGTTAAGGTGGATGCAGTGGCACGGGAGCGAGGGCAGGGAGTTGCACATGCATGCCGAGGTGACACTGCCCGGCACTGCCGCCGCCACCGCCGCCAGCAGCACGCACACCTAACCAACGCA